ATTCAAATAACTTCTCTATTCACTGCGAGGATGAGGCAAACTCAGAATCTTTGTACTCTTTTTGGTTACTTGTTGCTTCTAACGTCTTCCAGTCCCAGGTTCAGGGTGTTTTGTCAAACATAACATGGTCGCCAGACTTTTCCCTTGGAAGTTCCAAAAATTGGGGGAAGTGTATAATTTGTCGTTTAAATACATTCAGACTTTTCTTTTCTTCCCTTGTCCGAATTTATATAATTTAAAAGTGTGTTATTTAAGGTTGTTATAGCTCAAATCTTCAAGCCAGGTGCAAGATTCTGGCACGAGCAGATGTGAAATTGAAGTTCTCCACCAGACCATGTGAGACTCACACCTAAGGCATGAAGTGAGAATTAGCATGTACAGTATGGTTAATTTTTATTTACCTGACGATAAATAAAATGAAGCTGCTTCTTTACAAGTCTGTAAGTTATCTCCAGTGAAGGCCGTTTCTTTTTTACGGGGGTACTGTAGGATAAAAAATAATTAAAGAGAAATTTTATTATTTCAATTTTTTTTTAACAACAATAACCAATTTTGATCTTTCAAGTTACCATTAAATCATTTATTTTCACACATTCTAGTGTTTACTTATATGGCTACATATTTTTAACGAGTCTTTTACAAGTCAGGAAATTCCGTACCAGACACATTAATTTTCAAAGATTCAATTACCTTGTTTCGGTAGTAATTTGAACTTATCTTTATAAGACTGTCGAGCATCTTCTCGGCCTCTTTTGGCTGAAAGAAAATTAAAAACCAAAACCTTAATAGAGGGAGCATTTGACTTCTGAACACACGAACTCTCTCTCTTACGTAAGCTGGTCATGACTAATGCAAGATGAGAGACGAAAAACGTCAACTCACGTCAATTTGAGCATTTTTTATACGTGGTACAAGGTTTCTGTTGAGGTGTTCTCCAAGATCTCTTCCTAGACGATTTTGGTCAACCGGCCATTGCTCGCAAACTTGCAAAAACCTCTTGTAAAGTTTTGGGGCGAGCGCGCTCTTTGACGCCATATTGGATTGATGAACAACTCCGCTGATACAGTGAAGCAGGCTCATAAAAGCTTGGTTGCTTAGCTGGAAGAAACCACAGTTAGTGACCGGTAGAGACCCGAAGAAAATGTAGTCGATTGTTTGTGTTTTTTTGCAGCGTTTCCCACAGTAATTTAACTTCTTATCAATGTAAAACTTTCTCCCTCATGGAGTTTGTGGAGTATATCAAATCGCCGCGCATTGAAAAGGTTTCTCTGAGGCGAAGAGGGCGTGCTTACTTGGAGGGTACATTGTGCGTGACAGGTCATCACTTGATCTTTTCTTCTCGGACAGAGCACAGGGATGAGCTGATTGTAAGTCAATGTCAAATAACAGTCACTACCGAAATTTTTAAACCTAAACTGCTTAAATTGTGTTTTAATCCCCTAGAAGTTGGAATTAATTATTGAATTGAGCTTAATATGTCCGTATGTTATTCGGACATGTAAAAGCACTTGTTTTGACTGATGACGTGTTGTAGCAGGGGGAGGGTACTGTTATACACTATAGTCTGCATTTCAGCTTGTGTTCCTGTTGCTGTTTGTTGATTCTCTTCAACTCATTTTGGAGACGAATGAGGATCGCAATGCTACTTGACAGAATTTTTATTGAATCGTGTGTTTATACTGTTAGAACATGAGAAGGATTGCAGCTTTTTCAGACAGTTGCCCAGCAAACCAGAACTCTATATCCTTAGGAACTTAACCCAGAAGTGAATGCCTATTATAATATAGCTTTCATTGTCTGCCAAAATTCAATTTTTGAATTTTGCTTGTTGTTAGCATTTGACATTGTAATTTTAACCTACAATTCGTAGCTTCATGTACATTCAAGTTTTCAATTTTTTTCACTCCTGTTGTTAATTTCAGACCTCCCAACTCTCATGATTCTGCCGTGAGTCTGACAACTTTTTATCTTTTCTCACAGCGGAAAGACAAAACTCCCAGATTATCTCAATAATAGAATCTCCCGATTTTTTCATTGGTCTCCCAATTTCCCTTTATCAGGGTTGGCAGGTGTGCAAATGTGCAATTTATGGGATCTACTTGTATCTTTCCTAATATTACGCTATTCTTTATGACAATAACGTAAGCTTGGAGTGAGGAACGTTTTACTTCAGTAGTTGATACCAGGTTTGATTTTTTACCTCTACCTTTGTACATGTACAGACAAAGTGCACATGTGCTTACTAACATACTTCATTTCCTGCAGCTTTTGCACTCAGCAGTGGAGCATGTTGAGAAGAAAGCAAGAGGTCAACATGGAACACTTACCATCTGTTGTAAGAACTTTGACTTGGTGAAACTGAAGTTTAACAACATTGAAGAGGCATTGAATGTGGCATCATCTATTGAAGTACTTTCAACAATCGGTAGGTCAATATAGCTCAATTTGTTTCAGTAATGTTACTCTATTTTGACATATAATTAAAGGGCTAGTGAGAGGAGGGGGAGGAGAAGAGAAAAGAGGGGGGAAGAGAAGAAGGAAGGAAACTGGGAGGGGAGAGAAGGGAATGTAAGGAAGGAGAGATAATCTCCCAGGGAGGGGGATTCCCATATGAAAAGGAATTAAGCCCCTAAAGGAGACCAATCTGGGCGTGGTGCAAGTTTTATTTAACCTCTAAAAGATACCACTTAAAATGTAATAGGCTCGCAGCTGCTGTTCATGAAAGCAGTCATGCTAGTAGACTGCACTTGAGATCACTCAAGAGACCATTGGAAATTAGTCTAAAAATGGAAATACACGAACAAGCGTTTTTTATTATTATTTCTGCAAGTACACCCTTATAAAAGATACTTCGACAGCTAAAAATAGTGGCCCTTCCTTACGAACATGTACCCTAAGTAAGACCAGAATCCTTGAATTATGCTCCCTAAGTGAGATGAGTTTCCCTGACTTTTCATATGGGAGTTCTCCCGTGGAGATAATATGAATGAAAAAACATCCATTCAGGCTCAGGGGTTTAATTAACATTTTCAGTTACAGGTTGGCAAAATTTTTCTATCTGAAAGTAAAACTTTCCTCTAGTTGGTCAAACCAGGTGAGCAAAATCATCATCACAGCTGGTCAATATATTTGCCTGGTGCCTAGCTTACCCTTAATGAAACCCCTGGAGACTTGAATCTTGTGTCTTGGGTCTCATGTTTCATTTGAAGACAAAACAGGATGAATTACATGTTGGTCCAAATGATGATAAATAGAGGGACCAGACTGATCAGAGTGATCTGAGTGTACTGGGGATGGATTTGTTAATTCATCATTAAGTTGCATAAATCAACTGTACATGAGATCCCCTCATTATGTAGTGTCATGCTTCATTCAAGTTGACCAGGACTGAGCCAAATAACACAAGGCACTAGTAGGGTCTAAAGTGGCTGTTAAGCATTGTTAGTAGTTATTTCATCTAATATGTAACCTGTTTATATATTGACTTGTAAATTTACTTGTAGAATGTTATTATTTTTATTTCAGAAAATACAAATTTGAGGTATCCTTTCTTTTACCGACACCTAAGAGTTATTGAAGAAGATGGCTGGGATCTGTTCAGTACAGAGATGGAATTCTCCAAACTCTGTGCTATTACTCAGGGCTGGAGAATAAGTCATGTGAACAGTAATTATGAGGTTTGTACAAGTATAGAGTAAATACAATTATACAACAATTTGAAAGTACTGACAACTCTGTATATATAGACAGAAAAAATAGCTTTCACAGGGTGCAAAGCAAATTGTGTCCAATAGCCTGGGTCTACTGGATTTTGCACTTGGGCCAGTTGATTCTGTTCTTCACTTGCCCTTCAGGGAAGTGAAGCTTTGGAAGGAAAATATTTGAGGGAATTCACAACTGCCTTTGGGAGCTCTGGCATATCATAGTTACAGCTTGATGAAAGAGCTAGCCTGAAAATTGGTTTTCTTTGCACCCTACATCAAATGAATTAGTGGTGTCACTTTATTGCTCCCTCACCTCCTGCTCTTGACCAATTGCCTCTTTCTCTTCTTTGATCATCTCCTCACTCATTTTCCTTCTCAGAATTTTGCTTGAGATAGTCTGATCCCTGGTGCAGGTGCAGGTGCAGGTTTACGTGGCTTTTTTTATTAGTCTTTTCATTATCCCAGAATTAAGAGTCTTCACTCCATCTATCAAGACTGATTCTCCCTGTCATGTTAATTTGGATTTAGAGCTTTGTGTGATTTCTACAGAGCTGTGTTGTATTGTTAAGAGTGACAACCTTGTAAACTTAGTTGCATTCATTTGATAGCTAAATTAAGTATCTTGAAAATTTTCTTCTTCACTAAGTGCAATGTACAGATATATGTACATGTTATTATGTTGCACCTTCTTTGCTTCAGTGTTTAGTACCATTTGAAATCTGAAGACAGGTGTTCATTTTTAGTTTGTTTGTTTGCTTGTTGTTTTGTTTTGCAGTTGTGCCCTAGCTATCCAGCCAGTGTTATTGTACCAGTGAAAATTTCTGATGACACTCTGAAAGCATCAGCTCAATTCAGACATGCTGGAAGGTTTCCAGTCCTAAGCTATTATCATAAAAGAAATGGAGTAAGGATTCAGGGTTACTTGTCTTAATTGCAATGTGCATGTGATCATGCTTTCTATATAATACAGAATGAATGGCCATTTTGTACAGTCATCAGAGTTATAGACTTCAGCCAAGCATGTGGACTTTTAAATTTGTACTATAATCCATGCATGTAAGAATTATTGTTAAAAATTATATTGTCGTTCAATTCTATTTCTGGTTTAAATTTTTTTTAACCAGTTTGATTTTAGCCTGTGCACATCTGCTCCCTCCCCTTAAAAAGACCCCTCTGGACCTTGATTCTTTGAGGGAAGGGGGTAGATGTAGACAGGTTAGTTTGATATTTATTTCCTTAGTTTCAGATTATGCCTAATTAATGAGTAATGCATGTTCTGGAAGAAATGTGTGGAAATTGAACTTCTGTTTCAATCTATACAAGTGAATACAATTGCTGTGAGCCCCCCCC